AGAGAGAGAGAGAGAGAGAGGGGGGGGATAGTAAAAGAGAAAAAGAGAGTAAAAGAGAGGGAAAGAGAAAAGGAGAAGAGTCTCTTTTTCCCTCTTATCAAATGCAAATAGAGGAACTTAAATAGACATTGTTGCAAGACTGCACGCTGCCTTACTTTGCAGGTTGGCAAACATTTGAATGACGATAGAACAAACAAAAAATGTTTGCAACGTTGAGTCAGCTGATTGTTGAAACGGAATACACAGGTACCACTAATGCTGAGCTGAATGATTACATATGATATTACCATGAATGATGCCTTCCTCCTCCACTATTGACAAGTCTGGCTTGAAGCCAGAACAGTAGACAATGGCGTCGATGTCCTCAACGAAAGAACCATCAGAGAAGAAGGCTGTGCTACCACTCAGTCTGTTCAGATGACCATAAATCTGGATTTTTCCGCATATGACGTCCAGCTGGGATTAAGAAGAGAATGGTTCAGTTACACTGAGCGCCCGACGAGTTACGAGGATCAGAGCCTGGCAACCTGAATGGTACCACCTACGTGTACGAGTTGATGATTTGATAATTTTGATCGGCGGTGGTGACCACCCAGGTAGTGACATGTATTAAATTATTCCATGCACTGCTAGGACATGTATGTAGGTTGGCAGTACAGACATGTCAGTTTCTTAAAGAAGACAAAAGTGGGCGCTGGTTAGAAAAAAGTTGGCAAGCACTGTTTAAGATGTTTGCAAGTGATGGAATCTTTTTGTCAACATGGAACTCAAACTGAAGGAGGTTGAACAACAGAAAAATGGGAATAGTGGAGATGAGAATATGTATGTTATTATTGTGGCTTCGTTATTTTTTTTACAAATTTAACTTTCTACCAAAATATATGTACCTGGAAATTATTTGCTACGCCAATAGGAGACATAGAAGGGAGTTTGTCGGACCTCACTCCTGTCCCAGCGTGATTAAGGAACAGATCGCTTTCTTTCATAGCTAGGTCGTTATAGACCACCTCTGCCTTGTATGATAACATCTGTGTACGTGATAACTTCTCGAACATAGGGATGCCTCCACTGGCCAGACGCGGCAAGATCCAGCTCCCGCTGCCCAAAGCTACAATTGTCTGAAACACAAAAGACAGATAGTGGAAATGCACTATTTTATACGAATATTGAATTTCCTTATCATCTTTCTACTTAAACTAGATAGCTAAACCGAGAAAAATTGACTAGCAAAAAAAAAACAGAAAAGAAAGAAAAAAAAAGAAAGAAAGAACAACGATAATAACAACAACAATTACTACAACAACAACAACAACAACAACAACAACAACAACAACAACAAACAACAACAACATAAACAACAAAAGCAACAACAACAACAACCAAACACCGATGTATCAAAGCTTTCACAGAGTGAAATTTCGCCCTAGAGCCAATGTTTGCATCTCTAATCTCTATTTATGTCATGTGATGATAATTTCTTACCCCCTTGCAGAAAAAGCAGGCAGAATAGTTTACAATACGTCAGTTTTCTATGAAGACGGACATCTCACGATATGGGTAGAAGTGATTTTAATCAACTCGTTAAATGACGTTTGGTCGGGAATAGGAAGACTGACAAAAGAAACAAGAAAGTCAGTTTGCTTTACTCTCTTTATCTACATAAATGCCCCTGCCCTATGCTAATATCAGAATCGGAAGAAACGACAAAGCAAAAGGCACAACCAGCAATTATAATCAAATCAGTGGGTTATGAGGTAAAAAGGCGGTGTGATATTTTAAACTGACACGACTTTAGTGCGGTGAAATCTTTTTTTTTTTTTAAATCGAAATCCTGTCAGGAAATTGTAGCTTTTCGTACGTGTCGAAACAAACAATGTCATGATCGACTTTCGACGTCAAAAAATGTCATGGTGTGCACACCCTGGTCCTCCCACGATAGATTCTCCCCTTGTGGATACTTACAGTATCCGCGTCCGCTGCAATATCCTCCGCAACGTCAATACCAGAAAATGAAGAGCCTAAAAGAGAGAGAACGGGGTTGCAAGGAGTGTGTGTGTGTGTGGG